GAAAATTTACTAGAATATATACATTAAAACATATTACACTCAATATTGATCATATGCATAAAATCAAAATATTTATGAAATTATTTATCTTGATGCTTTATAATTTCAGGTATACATGCACACACTTTATCAATTTTACAACACGTTTCCAAATATATGAAAACTGCATGATAAGATATAATATGAAATATTTTACAGATCCCAGGTATAGATAATTAGTAATAATGAAAGAGGTAAACTTACCATTCTTAGTAGTAGCAGACCTTCATTGTCTACCCCTTCTGCCCTTAGCAACACCTAAATATGCTGTTGTTTACAGATATAATAATTTTCACCTGTGCTGGTTTCATTCAAAACAATTTTGGGTGTGTTATCCACCATGACGATTCCTACATTTCCACGTTCAGTGAATGAAAATGAATCTTTGGAGAAAGCAGTAGATTATATTTTACTAGGGACCCAGTGCACAAATTCGTGTACCTTGAAAGGAACTGTGGGCTGTGAGACTGCAGTGGGAACAGGGTTGGGTCTTGGCCCATACTCCATGCCCCCTCCCGGCTCCTTGCACTGTGCCTGCGGTCCCCTGTCTGCCAGCAGCCACTCCCACCGTTGCCACTCCCATGTGCTGACAGCGCTGGTTGCTCACTCACGCTGACGATGCAGAGCAATTTGGGCCGGCGCCAGCAGCGGCTGTGAGCCGCTGCTGCCCTGATCGCCCCTCAGGAGGAGGGGGAGGTGGAGAAGCCCTCAGGTGGCGACTGGGGCCAGCAGCCACTGCTCGCACCCACTGATGGCACCAAGCTATTGGGACTGGCACCAGGCGCCGACAGCATGTGCGAGTGGGGCTGGCAGTGGGTGTGAGTGGTGGCTCCAGCGCCGGCTGCAGGTGCGAGTGGGGCCATTGCTGGCAGCGGGTATGAGAGCCAGCTTCTGGCCCTGATTGCCCCTGAGGAGCAGGAGATGGTGGGGAAGCCCTGAGGGGCAATCGGGCTGGCAGCCACCACTCCCACCCACGATCGGGGCCAGCACCACCAGTGAGTGCTTGTGGGACTGGCACCAGCAGCAGGTGTGAGTGCCAGGCAGGACCGCAGTGTGCGGGATCAAAGAATTTTCAGTAACCACCTGATGACAGTAATTGGAGCCCTGCCTTGTTCTGGTGCCCCCGCTCACCTGCTCCACCATCCTGCCGCGGCTGATGCCCGCCATGTTCCACGTGTGCCCCCTGGTGGTCAGCACATGTCATAGTGACTGGTTGTCTGGTTGTTCGTTGTTCGGTTTTATATATATAGATTAGCCTAGAATTTACACCTGCATTTTTCTCTTCCAGTTGTCCTTTGGTCTTTATTTAAAAACAAACAGTGAAAAGTTGATCAGTTGGGCTAAGTCCTCTTAACTCTAATGTACAGGCAATGTCCTTGGAGACTGCTGAAGCGTGAGTCATAGCTTCGTGGGGTTTCCATCTGTAGAGTAGCCACAGAACCATTTCTTTCAGGCAGTGTACTTTTTATGATGTTAACCTTAAATTTTTAAATATGCCACAGACATTCCTAATATTTTACTCTTGGAATTAGCAACTTTTCTTTTTGGCCTAACTTCCATAACACTATTCCCCCTGCATGATGATGGTGATTTACTTTCACTTTGATTCTAATATTAATGACTTCAATTGTTAAGCTCTTCATTTCTTACTGAGTTCTAAGAATAAGAGTAACACTGCATAGTCTACTCTATTTAAAAATATTCTTCATCCTATGTTATAGCCTTTGATCTTTTATGAAATATCTGTGAGGTAAAAACATGAGATGGGATTCTTCCCATTTCACTGATGTGGAAACTGAGTCATCAAAAAGGTGCTTCAAATCACAATGATAGGACAAAGTTGCTGACCCACAGGCTACCAAGGAGTTGGAAAAGGCACAAAAGATCACCTAAGAAGCCTTCCATGTGAACCTTAAGTCTTTCTTCTCTCATCCCACTGAGAAGCGCTTACTCACTGGAATGGTTCCATGTTCAGTTGCAAGCAGTTGGCCTCCTTTGAGGGCAGCGCAGGCCTTAGACTGCTCTGAGGATGACCACTCATGAATCAGAAATGTACTTCTCTTACACCTTCTCACAGCTACTGGAGTTCTGCCCTCTGACCAGGCACTTCTCCATCCATGTAGTATGGTCTTTTTCCTAGTTTCTGACATAGAGCTCATAAAACCTTTGAAGTTTCTTAAGCAATTGTGTATTTTCTTTGCAATGAGATTATTCCCCTACAGATGGTGGGAAGGGGAACCAGGGTATTTCATGATTGGGGGTTGGGGGTCGGGGGTGCTGGTGGCCAGAGCCACCAACCATGTGATTAGAAGGTTGGAATTATCAGTCCACTCTCTGATCTCCAGGGAGGGGAGAGAGGGGCTGGAGACTGAACCTGATCACTAACGAACAATGATTTAATCAGCCATGCCTACAAATTGAGGCTTTAATAAGAATTCTGAAACTACCAGGCTAAGGGAGCTTCTGTTTGGTGTACACATTGATGTACTGGGAGGGCGGTGCACCTGGAGCAGGATGAAAACTGTACCATCTGTGCTCCCCTTTCCTTGCCCTATGCATGGCTTTAATTTGGCCTCTTACAAGTTGTATTCTTTACTTCCTGAGTTCTGTTGAGTCATCCTACCACAGGAACCTCTGGATTTATAGCCAGTCTGTCACGAGTATGGGTAGTCCTTGGGACTGGGAACTATCCTGTGAAGTGAGGGCAGTTTTGTGGGATGAGTTCTTAAACCTCTGGGGTCTGTGCTAACTCCAGGTAGTGTCTGAATTGAGTTGAATTGGAAGATACTCATTTGGTGTTAGAGAATTGGTAAGTATTAGAATAGTGTATTTTGTGTCAGAAACAAACAGACCCACTATGTTCCCTCCCAATGTTTGCTTTGTACTTTTTGTTATATGGGAATCCCTCAGACTTTTATGAGGCCTTCCTCTAGATCTTTCCCAGACTTGATGTGTGTGCATAATTAAATTGGATCAGTAGAGTAAACCCTCATATTTTAAATATGTGGTTTTGTTCAATGGTTGTAATCACATTATATTTCAACTAGAGGCCTGGTGCACGAGTTCGTGCACCAGTGGGGTCCCTCGGCCTGGCCTGCGGGATTAGGCTGACACCGACTCTCCGACATCCTCTAAGGGTTCCTGGATTGCGAGAGGGCACAGGCCAGGCTGAGGGACCCCACTGGTGCATGATTTGGGGCCAGGGAGAGAGGCGGGAGGGCTGCAAGGCATGTCTGGCTCATCTCACTCAGTCCCGATTGGCTGGACCCCAGCAGCAACCTAACCCTCCCGGTTGGAGCGTCTGCCCCCTGGTGGTCAGTGCATGTCATAGCGAACAGTTGAGTGGCCTTAGCATATCATTAGCATATTACACTTAGACTGGTTGAACAGATGACCGGACACTTAGCATAATAGGCTTTTATTATATAGGATGTTCATTTAAAAACATATAGCAGCATATTTATCTGTCATCCAGAATGCTTGGGTGTTTTCTCCTCCATTTAGTCATAGGTGCATTACTTAGTATTGCACTAGGCAAGAATGTACAAAAATATTCATTATGTGAAAACTATACCTGTACTTAAATATGTTACAGATAGGTGGATGGGGGTTGTAAAAATAAAATAATGTCTGTAATTAATAATTTCTATACTGCTAAATGGTTAAAAATAAAGTCTGGCATTAAACTGCCTGAGTTCAAATTCTGGCTTCGCCACTTTTCAGTTGTTCAACTTTTACTTCACCCACTTTACTCTAATTTTGTCATCTGTAAAGTGAGGATAATAATAATATCTATATCATAATGTTTTGGTGAGGATTAAAAAAAATAATGCAGAACACTTAAGACAATACCTGCCTCAGTAAATTTTAGCAGCTATTACTATCGTTATCACTGCTATGACCATTACAACTATTATTATTATGCTACTAATACACTTCTTTTTAATCTAATTCATAACATAACATGGTCATATGGCTTATAAACTCTTCTAATCACATATTTACTTACAGCAAGCTATATCGGGGACGTGTGTTTAATCGATTGTGTTAATAAACTAAACATTGTTATGATAAAAGAATTTTATGCACTCTCTTCTTAATTTTCTCAATTTTAAGGATCACAGGAAGGAGAAAATATGTACCATGCCCTTTCAGACAGCACCCACTGCTTTTCACAGCTAGATGTTATGTGGTTACCCTCCTCAGATTTTCTGCTCTCTGCTAAGGAGCTCAGTTTTGGGATTAGATCCCAGAGTTCTGAGTAGCACCCTCCCTCCACAGCTAAGATATCTCTTTGGGATTTCAGTTGCTGTCTGTGGGTGCCTGGCCTGTCCTTTCGCGCCTCTGCCCCTCCTACCAGTTTCTCAGGTCTACACCTTCAGTCTTCCGGTACCAGGGTTCTCTTCTGTGAGTTTTCCGTTGATTATTCCTGAAGCCTTTTATATTTCAGCTGTAATTCCAGCTTGTTCCTGGGAGCATGTCTCAAGCAGCATCTACCTTCTCTGCCACCATTTTTAATCTCAAGGAATCTAATTTTAAACACATCATTTCCTAAATATGGTTAGTTCATGAGGTTTGCTGTAAATTTTATCTAATGTCTTAGACACATAATAAATTTACTTTATTCCAGGACTTAAAAATTGAAAGTTTTAACAAGTTTACTGAAATTTACCTTCCCTTTATTATAATAAATTTTTTACTTTCTTATTGTAAGGTTTTTCACAAATATTTTGTTTCTAGAGTGTTTTACCTTTTATATATTATAATTTTGTCCTTTCAAGGCGTTTAATATACTCTTTTTCAGTCTCTGTAGAAATGCTGGAAAAGAATCTGAAGCAGATGGGAAGGCAGCTTCAACAGCTTGAGAGAGATTTGGAAACCTTTCCCCCTCCTGAGGACGTGCGTGATAAGTTTGTGACAAAGATGTCCATATCCTTTTGATATCTAAATAAATTACTAGTCAACTAGAATTACAAATTATTTAACATTTGAAGTACATTTGCATAACCAGAGACCATTCTGTAGTACCACATTATAGGCTTAATCTTTACCTACTTGGAGAGAAATTTATCAGCGTTTATCATGAACAATACCGAAATATATTCTATTGATTTCCATTTTTTCCCTTTTTATCAACTTGAATAATATTTTTTCTCATCTTTCCCCTTCCACATGTCCTTTTTCCTTTTGAAGTTCATGGTAGATTAACTGGATATGAAAACTCAAATTGAGGGAATTTGAATCTAACATGATGTGATTTAGATATTTTGAAACGTTTCAGGATAAAGACTATAAACTGGTGTGAGTAGTCACCTTAATTTAGTTTGGCCTATACTAAAAATTAACTTGTGTTCCAGAAACTTTACTATTTTCTTTAGAAATACTACATAGTTTTATAATCAAAATTGAGATTGTCACAATCACTATTTGTGCAGATATTCTCCAAACCTAAAATAAAATTGACATATATATATGTGTGTGTGTGTGTGTGTGTGTGTGTGTGTGTGTGTGTACGTACTTATAGAAAATTAATAGCATGAGGCTTGTGTCCTGCTTAATTTAAGGTTTCTTTTGAATTCAATTATCTTTGGTTTTGCTAACTCTGTGGCTTAATCTCTAATGAGTAATTAAAGTAATAAACTTTATTTCCTGAAACTAATGTTGAGTTGCTTTGCAAACCATTCTGTGAAATTAGACTGATAGCTTCTAGGTTATAAGAAAGTATTACTACTGTGCATTATTAAAATTCCATATGGACTTCAGAATTCTACATGAAAGAATAACCCACTTTTAAAATGAGCTCTTATATTGCCAAAACCGGTTTTGCTCAGTGGATAGAGCGTCGGCCTGCGGACTGAAAGGTCCCAGGTTCGATTCCGGTCAAGGGCATGTACCTGGGTTGCGGGCATATCCCCAGTAGGAGATGTGCAGGAGGCAGCTGATCGATGTTTCTCTCTCATCAATGTTTCTAACTCTCTATCTCTCTCCCTTCCTCTCTGTAAAAAATCAATAAAATATATTTAAAAAATAAAATAAAATGAGCTCTTATAAATAGACACTCCTGATATTTATTTTAAACTGAGTTACTTGAACTAAAATAACTACTTTTCCTCTTTCTATCTCTCCTGAGATTTGGCATATCACAAAATTATTATTTGGCTTGTCATAGATTTTCTTGTATATACTTTCAGCTTAATTGTGAATTACTTCAATTTTAACTATCTTTACTATATCTTTGGGGAAATATCATAAAAATGCACTCAGCAACAATCAGTTCTAACTAATGTATTTATTTCCTTTCCAATCTTTCCTACCTATCCAGTTTCTTTTTTTTATAAGGCAGGGCACCATTATCACTCCACTAGATATGGTTGTCTTTTTAAAACTAAAAATGAGCCAAAACCGGTTTGGCCAAGTGGATAGAGTGTCGGCCTGCAGACTGAAAAGTTCCAGGTTCGATTCCGGTCAAGGGCATGTACCTGGGTTGCGGGCACATCCCCAGTGGGGGATGTGCAGGAGGCAGCTGATCAATGTTCCTCTCTCATCTATGTTCCTGACTCTCTATCTCTCTCCCTTCCTCACTGTAAAAAATCAATAAAATATATATAAAAAAAGAAAACAAAAACAAACACCTAAAAATGAAATATATACATATCAAAAGTATATTTTGCAGTACCTTCTCATTTGGCAACATATGGTTTTCAAAACTAAATTTGTAAATTTTTTTATAGCACAGTTATATTAGTTTTTCCATTCTTAGCTTTTTTCTCAATTATTTTTATCATGTTAAAATATTCATATATGCCAGTGTATTGTAATCATTAAGTACTATTAATGGAAGTGCTTATTATTGTTCTTTATAGATAGAAAGCATTTTAGAAAAGTTTTTGCTTGTATAGAATCTTTGGTAATTCATTGTGAGTGTGAGTGTACTAATTATGAAGGTTGGATTTCTAGGACATATAACTGAAGATGAATTCCTGAGCTTAGAGTCAGTGTAGCAGAGTCATGCTCAGCAGATGATCTCTGGACCTATTAATACTTGTATTCATATGATACAAGAAGCTGAATGTGTCGCCTTCTTGAAAGGTATGCAACTCATAAAAAGTAACTAGCAGGAAATCAGAAACAGGAAGAGTGATGCTTTGTTGGAAACAATTTTTCATTCTGAGTACAATTATACTCCATAGACATGAAAGCTACTATATCCTGTTGCTAAATATCACAACCTAAAAGCCTCTAATGAACTGATTAGCATTCATGTATCTCTTTGGAAGTCAGATATATGAACAGTTGGTGCACTTTGCTATTGACAAAGCTTATGATCATAAATACTCTTTGCTGAGATTAGATTGTACTCGTTTGCTTTTCCTCTTAGACATACTAGTTTCGAGGTAATTAAATTCATTCATTGTGAAGCTTTGTTTACTTTAATTAGGACTGACAACAAATCAGATCTTGAATATTAAATGCATTTATACAGATCTTACTAAAATGGCAAATTGTGAGCTGCTTAGATCTTAGAAAATGGAAGAATATGGAAATGAAAATGCACAATGAATAAAAATATATTTAACTAAAATTTGGGTTATTAATGCTCAAACTTTGTTTTAAATTTTAGTGCTTATTAGTTGAAGCACATATCAAATGTGTGATTCCTCAACCAGTTCTGGAAGAATATGTGTATTATCCAAATTGTTAAGAATGCATTATTTCAACTGGATATTTAATGTAAAAAAATCATAATTTAGTGAACTATTAAATAATCTGTTAATCAAATAGTCTTAAATTATGATATAATTTTGTTATAATAGGAAATTTTACTAATAGTGTTCAATTATAGTATATTAGAAGCCTGGTGCATGAAATTCATGCATTCCTGTGTGTGTGTGGGGGGGGTCCCTCAGCCTGGCCTACATTCTCTTGCAGTCCAGGAGCCCTCAGGGGATGTCCGACTGGTGGCACAATTATTTTAGAGATAGCACATTGACTTTTTTTTTTAAAGAAAAAATTTAATGTTTTTTATTGATTTTTTTAGAGAGATAGAAGTATCAATGAGAGAGAAAAACAGCATCTATCTGCTGCCTCCTGCATGCCTCCTACTGGAAGTTGAGCGCTGTTATGTGCCCTGCCTGGGAATCGAACCAGTGAGTTCCTGGTTCCTGGGTCGATGCTCAACCACTGATCAACACTATCCAGGCCACATTGACTTTTAATAATAATGATGTTACTTTCCAATTGCTAAGCCTGCTCAGAAATATAATTAGAGTTGAATAGTACTAGTGTAAATATTTGCTTGAAAAATATGTAACACACATTCGAGGTGGGGGGTCATTAATATTGTTATATACAAACTATCCTACCTAATAAAATGTTAATATGCAAATTAACTGTCACTCCATCACAAAGATGGCAGTACCCAGACCTCTCAGCCTCACCGGAGTCCCCTAGTCCTGGCGGGGGCGGCCGCTGAGAGCAGGCAGTGTGAGTGGCCTGGTGGAATGCCGCGGCGATGAGGCAAGCATTCCACCCCAGCTGTGGAGGGCCTCTGGGCAGTGTGCACAGAGTGGCCGGGGGTGAGGGGAAATGCTTGCGTTGTCACCCCAGCGACAAGGCAAGCGTTCCGCGCCGGGCCTCGGCTGGGCCTCTGTGCCGTGGAGAGCCTCTGGGCAGCGGTCACAGAGCAGCCAGGCCCCGCAGAGAGCAACTAGTACACGGATTCGTGTGCAGGGCTACTAGTTATATTTGAGATAATATTAAATTTTGTATAACAAGTTACTTGACTCTTTCCTATGTTCTTCTCTTTAAATTTATTGCAATCCTGCTTTTATTTTGAACTTTCTTTTTATTGTTCTGCTATAGAGTGATATTTTAATCCCTTCTGATACTTCTATGAAGATGCTAAAACTATCTCAATAAATTCCTTGAGAGAAAGACATCTTATCTATATCCAACATTACATAAAGTACAGTATTTTTCAGGTAAAAAAATTCCGTACATTTTAATTTAATTGAACTATAATTAGGAAGTAAAACAAAAGAGTGGAATGGATGAAAAGTAAATTTGTATAATACAAAGCTCATTTGCAGGAGTGAAAAGTTGGGCCCTAACCGGTTTGGCTCAGTGGATAGAACGTCGGCCTGCGGACTCAAGGGTCCCAGGTTCAATTCCGGCCTAGGTCATGTACCTTGGTTGCGGGCACATCCCCAGTAGGGAGTGTGCAGAAGGCAGCTGGTCGATGTTTCTTTCTCATCGATGTTTCTAACTCTATCCTTCTCCCTTCCTCTCTGTAAAAATTCAATAATATATATTTAAAAAAAAAAAGTTGGATAATTGTGTGATTTGTAAGAGCAGATTTTTCTTTACTTAAATTAGTCTGCTCTCTTCCTTCCTTCTTTCTCATTTGTCATATCTTTTATTTAATCCATTCTTAATAAACTTGTAAGACTTGGGTTAAAATATCCTGCTCCTCATCCTCTGTGAATCTTCAAATTTATATGCATCTTTTTCTTCTCTGCAGTCTTATTAAACTCACAAAGGTTATTACACAACTTAGCACTTACTGCCGCTTTACAGTCATGCCTCAGTTACTTCAGTCAATGTCACCTTCTTAGCCTGAACTTCCTTGGGTGCCCTACGTAAATTAGCCTGTGTCATTCTGTATAACATCACAAAATTTTTCTTCATCATACTTATCACTGTCTGAATATCTCATTTATTTAGTTTTTTCATTATCTATCACTAGATTTCACAAAAGGAGGGACTTTGCTTTACTTTTTTCCCTAGTGCCCAAAAGAGGGGAATACAGTGGAGTTCAGTGAATACTTATAGATTGGCTGGCTGGCTGCCTGGGTACTTAAGAAGATATATAAACGGAATCGGACATATATGACTGGTTGAAGCTGATCCTTATCAAATGTGTTAATGGAAGTAATAGACACCTTTTGTGGGAAAGTACAATAATGAGGGCAAAGAATATACATAACCTCTGGAAATAGTCAGTAGTGCAGTGAAGGCCTGGGATTTGGGAGCAGGGTGAAAAAGTCAATGGGGGGAAAAAGAGGACTTCTGTAATACTTTCAACAATACAGATAAATTTTAAATAAATAAATAAAAATACACCCATACAATATATGTTAGTGCCAGGTAGTTTGGTAATGAGCTGTATTTGTTGACCAGGAGTTAAATCCTAAATCTTTGCCTTACTACTTAGTTGGCCAACACTATGTATTTGCAATTCAGCACATGTGAACACAGATTTGCTTGTTAACGAATCTTTCAAATGGGACGATTACAGTCTTTCATATAGAAATTAATGAGAATTTGGCCTTTGTCCTAGTAAAGGAATAGAAAACAGATTTTACAAAAATAACAAGTGACTGAGTAAATACCAATATTTTTTAATGAATTTTATCAAATATTTATTGTGTCAAGAAGCTCACCTATTTCTCTAAAGCTCTATATAAGGAGCTGGGGGAAAAATAAAGCCTTACTACTACTAAGATGGGCATTACTTTTCTCTGCAGTTTAACAGTTGGCACAAGAACATCTACATTTGTTTTCTCTTTTGGCTGATGATAATGATGTGTTTTGGGGTTTTTTTTCCTGTCTGAATATTCCACCATCTCTTAATGAGTAGCCCATCAGTGATGACGTAGAGACCCCATTAATGTAACCATTTATTCCACCCTATCAGACAGTCATTTTAAACTTCTAAGAATTTGGCTCTTTCCAAAATTGTTTAAGTTTAATCACAATTTTATCATTTTCATTGGTAATTCCAATTATTCAAAGCTCTACTTCCTTTGGGAGCAAATTGTCTTATCGATAACAATGATAAGATAATCCTATATAATAAAAGCCTAATATGCTAAGTGTCTGGTTGTCTGTTCAGCCAATCAAAGCGTAATATGCTAATGATATGCTAAGACTGCTCAACCGCTTGCTATGACATGCCCTGACCATCGGGGTAAACGCTCTGACCTGTAAGTTAGCTTGCTGCTGGGGTCCGGCTGATCAGGACTGAGCGAGATGGGCCGGACATGCCCTGGAGCCCTCCCGCGGTCCTTCCCCATCTGGCAAACCTCCTGCATCCCTCCCGGCACTGGTTGTACACCGATGGGGTCCTTCGGCCTGGAATGCGCCCTCTCCCAATCCAGAACCTTTTGGGGGATGTCGGACAGCCAGTTTTGTCCTGATCCCTCAGGGCCAGGCTGAGGGACCCCACTGGTACATGAATTCGTGCACCCAGCCTCTAGTTAACTTATAAAGCTCCCAAGTTTTAGAACAAGAGCATGTAATTTTAATGATTTTGACTCCTGGTCTTCTTTCCCATCACATTTTTAAATAGAATTATGCTGTTTTGATTAAGTATGTCCAGGCATATTCTAAATATTTTATTAATTTTTGATTTGTATCTGAAAATTTTAAAAAATGTTTTTGGACAATACTTATAGCTATAATTTAATCTGTTTACCAAATTGATTCTTGAGACTAGACATATTCCAGGTTTTAGAATAAAATTACTAGAATTTGTGAAATGCCTGTTTTAAAGATCAATGCCTTATAAGCAGTGACAGGGGCAGAAAAGTAGTAACCCTACAGTTAGAAACATCCATGGTAATAGGATAACCTGTTGTCCAGGTTAACAGCTGTTCAAGGACTCTCTTAGATCTTAATTACATTGAGTTTGTGTGTGTAAGAATGCATATATGTGCAGTCTTTCATCACAATTGTGAGAAGGCCTGTTACCCTTTCATTAAAGTTAAAAAAGGCCGAAACCGGTTTGGCTCAGTGGATCGAGTGTCAGCCTGCGGACTGAAGGGTCCCAGGTTCAATTCCGGTCAAGGGCATGTGCCTGGGTTGTGGGCACATCCCCGATGGGAGATGTGCAGGAGGCAGCTGATCGATGTTTCTCTCTCATCGATGTTTCTGACTCTCTGTCTCTCTCCCTTCCTCTCTGTGAAAAATCAATAAAATGTATTTTTTAAAAAAATAAAGTTAAAAAAGGATGACACTAGGGTGAAATAAGTAATTGGCACCAATGATGTTGTGGATGGTTAGACTTAATACAACTAAGAAGGTGGGGCACAGCATTAGAGAAGGAGCTGACAGAGGTGACCACACCTTAGAAATGGGGTGAGAAATAAGCACTACTGGGGAATTGGATTAGAAAGGAAAATTCACAACTTCATTACAGATGAGTACAATGGACTACAAATACCGTATGTATTCAGTGGGAAAATTATAGCTCATAAATGTAGAGAAGAAAGCTTCATGGAAGCTTAGTGAAGCCTTAAATGGTAGGTTTGGACCTGAAAAAGTAGATAGGAATTAAGAATAATATATAAATAATCCATGTAGATACAGTCTCTATCTAGAACATAAATAATTTTAGGTGAGAGTTTATAGATTTAATAAACCACTGTTGATTTCTGAACTTGTTAGTTTAAAGAAATTATTTCACTTTACAAATAAATCACCATATGTTCCATCTAATAGTTTCTGTATGTATGTTAAATGTAGTTTTTATTTACATCTGTTCATTTTACCTACAACATTTTATGGAATATGGATATTTCACAAGACAAAATATATGGAAACCTGTTCTGTGTGACTATATTGTTATAATTCCTTGTGATTTTACTAATTATAAGAAATTTTTGTTGCTCATCTAAGAATTAATAAAAGATACCACATATAAATGCATCACTCACTGGTAGTGTTATGATCTACATTCTAGAAAGTATAAAAGAGGCCTTTTTGCTATTCAGTTGAATATAAACTGAGCCACAAAAAGATCTATAGATTTTCTTAAGGCCATTAAAATAAGTCAGCTCTTGCATTAGAATTCAGACCCCATATATCCTATATAATAAAAGGCTAATATGCAAATTGTCCCTTCGACCAGGAGGCGGTGCCAGACCGTCAAACGCCTGTAGCCCCTCCCCTGATCGGCCCCCTCCACCTTAATCGGGGACAGGGCTGGTTGGCCATCCAGCCAACCTCCCACGTCTGCTCCCCCTGGCCAGCCTCACCCGATCGGCCCTTATCGGGGCGGGCCGGCCAGACCGCACTGTGCACAAATTCGTGCATCAGGCCTCTAGTTGTAAAATACATGGAGCATAGTATGAAAAAAAAAAACAACAGACAAAGAAGAGCAATAGGCAACATGCGGACGTGGGTACTGAGTTGCCATAGTACCTTCTGGGGAGGTTGAGTTCTAATTACTCAAATTCTTCGGTGCCCCCTGGATTCACCAACTATCTGGCTGTAGTGCTTCCTCTTTCTCCTTGGTCATATTCATTCATTCATTCATTCATTCATTCATTCATTCATCTATCTCAAAGGGAAGGGCCTGGATCTGTTGCTTTATTTTATCCTCTACCAGGTGAATGTTCTGACCACAGGAAACATATCATTTTGAAGTTGTGGAAAGTTTTTCATTTTTAGATATAAACCTTCCATTTTTCTTTTGCAATATAGAAGGAACTGACAGAGGTGACCGCACTCTAGAAATTCTTTGTTTCAATCTAGTTCTTCTTATTAACTGGCTATATTTTAAAATTAAGTGTGCTGATGTCTGTTTATCCTTTTGTGTTAGAGACAGTAAGATGACTTTAGTAAGTTTGATTCTGTATGTTCCATTTATTTAAATGCCACAGTTTAAAGGAACCATATGTAATTATGATTGATGCACTAAGAGAGTCACTTTTTTAGACAGTGATTTTACTGCCTCAGCAATGTTTCATGCCACAAAGGAATTCTGTGCTTTGTTTAGAAAATGTATTCTGTTGCCACTACTACACTCACATTTAGTCTTCTCTGTCTCATTGTGCTTTGAACTGAGTTGTCATAAATAAGTGAGAGAATAACATCTCTGTGTGTATGTATAATCATAGTTTGAACCAGGTAATACATAGGAGAAACTATCAATTTTCCCAAGGATAAGTTAAAACATGAGTTTTATTTCATAAAATAACAAATTTTAAATGTAATTCTTAAAAATTTATTTTTGATTGTCTTTGCAACCCTAAGTAAAGCTTAAAATGAATAACCAGGCAATAAAATACCAAGTGTTTGTATATATTCTAGATGCCATTCATTTTTCTAAGAACTTTGTATGTTTAACTCATTCCTCACTACAGCCACATTAAGATAGTTGATATTACTATTATTCTCATTTTACAGGTGAGGACATTTTGGCACAGAAAGATGAGGCATTTGTCCACAGGCATGGAAGTACCAAGTTTAGGAGTTAGAATGTCCGGTTGAACGGCTGTGCTTAATGCCTATGTTATTGATTTCACTACCATTAAATGTACTGTTACAACTGCTGAACTAGAATTTTAAATCATATCGCATGATCTGTATTATTTAGATGGCAAATTGGAAGGAAAATTTCCTTGAATTCAGTTGTGAAACAAATATTAAATGTATAAATATTTAACTATTCTGGTAATTTTGCTTGATTTAATTAGAAATTGAATTTAAGATTTCATCACTGTACAGTATAGATTGAATTGTAAGAATGGTTAACTTTTAGATGTGATTTGGCATTTTGGAGATGTGTAATAGTAGCTAACAATTACATCAAAACATTGGACTTAAAGTTGTGTGTTTTTCTAAAACATTACTTTGAAATTTCAGAATTCTTTAACTATAATATACAGCTTTGTTATCAGTACAAAGGAACAGTATGAGAATCTTTCAAAGTTACATGAAAACATGGAAAAGCTATACCAGAGCATAATGGAATACTATGCTGTTGATGTGAAGAAGGTGTCTGTGGAAGACTTTTTGACTGACTTAAATAACTTCAGAGCCACATTCATGGTATGATAAAAATTTTAATTTGTTTTTTAAAAAGTATTTGTATCTATACTACTTCATCTATTAATACGTTTACTTCATTACTTCATTCCGCTCCTGTTGTCTAATAAAATCTACCTTTTCTGATGTTGAAAGTTAGCTTTAAAATTTCACATTTTAAATCTATTGAAAAAATGTGTGGTTTGTTCCCTTTTTGGCCTTCCCAACATTAAACTATAATCAGAAATTTTGATTAAAACTGTGACAAATTCTGCAGTTTTTCATAGAGACTCCCCTCCTGGCTGATTACAGAGCACTTTTGTAGTAAGTTTTTGGCTATGAATTTGTTTCTTTATACTTATGATCAATTTGTATTTTTGTGGTATAATTTTACCCAATTCCTTGCAGCTCTTATGAAGCTTTTCCCTCCTTTTCTTTTCTTAATGCATTGTACAATAAGCTACCTGCAGTTTGCTTTTGAATGGATTTTATATTCTAGGGTTTTCTTTAGATACTTTAATAGGGAGGTCAGGTCTTTGATGTGCAATCCTTTCATTTAGGCATTAAAAAGATCTTTTGAAAAGTATTAGCTGATTAGATGGGGGAAAAGAGCCACACATATTAAAATGAGAAGGCATTGTTGCCTCCCTAGGGAACTGGAGATACATTTCTGCAAAGAAAAAATATGTTATTCTTAATAGATAGGTAAGTCATTTCTGTATTTCAGCAAATGTTGGTGGGGATTAAAAAGTTCTTGAAGTATAAAGAAAAAAACCTGGATTTAAAGAATTAGGTCCTTTTTTTTAAATCTCAGGAAAACTTTATTACTGAATTTATTGGATTTGGTTATTATCACTGGGTTATGATTAGATAGCCTTTTAATAAAAATATTTTAAAGGAAAACTAGTCTGTCTGCATTAAATATACATTTTGCTTCTAGCTCTTATTTACTTCCTCCACAAATTCAAAGTGATTAAATTATTTTTTCATACCAGAAGGGAATTTGATTATTAAACATATTATGTGCCTATATGTGTGCTGTATTATACTAATTTTTACAATGTTTTATGAGGCAAATTGGCTTAGTGGAATTAGCAAAGGCTTTGCAGTCTGAACGAGCTAGGTTTGGGTTGCGGACTAGTTACGTGACTATGAACACTAACCTTCCTGAGACTCAGTTTTCATATTTATAAAAGGGAATGTCAATTTCTTTCTCAAAAGGGTGTTTAGCCAAAACCGGTTTGGCTCAGTGGATAGAGCGTCGGCTTGCGGACTGAAAGGTCCCAGGTTCGATTCCGGTCAAGGGCATGTACCTTGGTTGCGGGCACATCCCCAGTAGGAGATGTGCAGGAGGCAGCTGATCGATGTTTCTCTCTCATCGATGTTTCTAACTCTCTATCTCTCTCCCTTCCTCTCTGTAAAAAATCAATAAAATATATTAAAAAAAAAAGGTGTTTAAATATTAAACAGGATAATATATGTTAAATGTTTATCATAGCTTTTGGCACATGGTAGTTGATCAATAAATTGAGTAAAGGGTTAACTCAGTAAGCTTGAGGTACTCAAACCCTGAGCATTCCAACGAAAGCTATAGTCCAGCGGTTCTCAACCTGTGGGTCGTGACCCCTTTGTGGGTCGAACGACCCTTTCACAGGGGTAACCTAAATACATCCTGTATATCAGATATTTACATTACAATTCATAACAGGAGCAAAATTACAGTTATGAAGTAGTAATGAAAATAATTTTATGGTTGGGGGTCACCACAACATGAGGAACTATATTAAAGGGTCATGGCATTAGGAAGGTTGAGAACCACTGCTCTAGTCCTTGCCTGACTCCTGGGAGGTCACCTTGAAGCCCTTGGGATGTCCTACCTGGTAAGGGGTCTTTGTACCTAGGACCAAGCTAGATAGTTTATGCTAAAAATGTGATTTATGGTGAATACCATATGTTTTTGTTTGTTTGTTTTCAGTTGTTTTGTTTGTTTTTAATCCTCACCTGAGGATATTTTTCCATTAATTTTCAGAGAGAGTGAAAGGGAAAGAGAGTGAAACATCAATGTGAGAGAGACACATCGATTGGTTGCCTTCACACTTACCCCATTCAGGGCTGGGGATCAAGTCTGAAACCAAGGTACATGCAGTTGACCAGAATTGAACCTGGGACCCTTCAACTACAAACCGAAGCTCTTTCCACTGAGCCAAACTAGCGAGGACGTGAATACCTGTTTTTGTTCACCTGAGGCACTGGGCCACAATGTATCAGATGGTCTTCTATGGGGCACTGGAGACTGAGTAGCTAAGGTCACTCATGCAGGAGGCGCAGACCTACTGGACTGTCCTCCCCAATAAACACTCAAAACAAAGCTGGGGTGAGCTGCCCTGGTTGGCAATGTGCTTCATGTGTTGTCACACATCATTCCTATAAATATCAAACTCCATAGGGAGAGGACAGTGTGATTTTAATCTGTATCCTTTTGGCGTATTGTAAACTGTAACAGTGGATAGAACAGCGTTTCTGAATTCTGTGAATCCTTCCAAAAAAATGATCAAACTCAAGCCTTATCTTGGAGATCCCTGACACAATTATGTATAAAATTATGAAATGCATATATGAAATAATATCCATTATATATATATATATATATATATTAGAGGCCCGGTGCACAAATTCATGCACCAGTGGGGTCCCTCGGCCTGGCCTGTGGGCTTGGCCAAAAGTAGCCGCCCAACATCCCCCCGAGGGGTCCCAGATTGTGAGAGGATGCAGGCTAGGCTGAGGGACCCACCCATTGGTGCTGGGGAGGGACGCAGGAGGTTGGCCAGCTGGGGAGGACACTCCAGGGAGTGTCCGCCCATCTCTATCAGTTGGAGCGTCTGCCCCCTGGTGGTCAGTACACGTCATAGCATTATCATCAGAGGTTGAGCAGCCTTAGCATATCATTAGCATATTACACTTTGATTGGTTGAATGGCCAACCGGTCACCCGGACACTTAGCATTTAAGCTTTTACTATATAGGATTTTTATGAGCCAGACATTTTCCCATATGTCTTACTTACATATATTATCTCAGCCAATCTTCATAATAATTATCCATCTCTTCACTGTTACCATCTCTTTGTGGCAAATGAAGAAACTGAGGCACAGAAACAGAACATAGCTAGCTCAGTGTGACATAGGTATAAAATGCCAGAACTAGAATTTAAACTCATGCAGTCTTCCTCCACATCCCCTGCTCTTAAATGCTATGTCATACTGTCTCCTATGTTCTATAGCTTGTGTTTTGTTTTACAAATAAGAACATTTGCATTTGGAGGGAGACCAAGTCCTTATTTTAAGTAGTGGGAATTGGGATTTGAATCAAGGTATAATTCCAGTCATCCTGAAAACTGGTAGGAATACAGGGTTTTGGTGTTCTGTGGGTAACTTGGCATTTCTGTCATTAAGTGGTGGGCAGAGGGAGAAAATAAATGTATGAATGAACAAAGGTTCAAAAAAAGAGGGTAATTGAGTGACAACTATACTTTCCTATTTCAGAATTCAGAGGGTCCTAGAAGTAGCTGCTATCAGACAGTACACACTCCTATACATACTGTACTAAATTTAAAAAATTAGAGCTAAATATTTTTTAAAACATTTTTTATCTAAATGAATAATTTAGAGAAAAAATTTTTCTCTAGAATGAAAATAAGCATAAGGAAGACTGGGAGGGAAGTACAGTTTTTCACCCATTTTATTCTTCCTTTCTTTTTGGTTTATACAGTTATACTGCTGGAATTTTAGACACTGTGTCTTTAAAAAACCGCAGTGTCCATATTAACAGAAAATTTTCACAAATAAATAAATTTTCATAATCTCTGATGTCGTATGTTGCTACTTAATTTTATATTATTCAACTTTGTAAACCAAGTTAACTTTAGTGAGCCACTGTGAAAATATTAGATCTGGAACTTTAATGTGTTGGTCTTTCTGGAAAGCCACATTAATATAATGGGCAAAAAGTATATTTTCTTTTTTGGGTTTCTCAACTGGAAATTTATTTGTCATCATCATTGTTTCAACAGTCTACTCTATGCAGTATGATCATAGGGAATGATTTTTATTTAGAACTATTGATCAACTTTCAACAATAGGAAATAAATTTACATTGTAATTTTACTTCACTTTTTTACTACCATCTTCAATAGGACAAAACCAAAACCAGTGGCTAGAGATTGAGTGTTTGCTTCTTGCTAGAGCTGGTGCTAGTGCTTTACATGTCTCTCACTTGGTCTTCACGCAGTTCATGAGAAGTACAGAATTTACCCTTGAGGTTAACTTAATTGCAGGGCAGAGAACCTGTGTGTTTGCATAGCCCCTGCAGAATTGGTGGAGGCTAGGGGAGGCCTGCCTGGCTGCAAAGTTTGGGCATTTTTTCCTTTAAACATTGATAATACATTGCTGCTCAGAGCATTTGTAAGTAAAAATGTGATTTTTAAAGTGTTTTTTTATAACTTACTAGAGGGAATCAGCACAAGGCATACTTTATTTCCTCACTCTTTTTTTTAAAATAACTTTCTGTATACATTGATGGATTCATAATAGAAGAATGCTTCCCAGTCTGCTTTTATTTCAAAGCCTAAAATGTCCTCTTTTAAAATTAGAGGCCAGTTAATGGCGGAAGTGAGGGTTAAGGTGAGGGCTAAAGAGTCGGCATCATTCTGTAATAGATTCTTTTTCCTTTAGGACTCATGTGAAGCATAAAGTTCAATTGGAGGTAATAGGTTGAAATACTTCACCTCACTGTATACGCTGCGTAAACGTGTGACCTACCAGGCATC